GCAATAAGTTTCTGTTTGGGCTATTTTTTTCTGTAAATTGACTAGACTACTATGGTTCAAAAGTTATAACGAACGTTCGAAAAATCTATTTTTAGCATATAGGTCACAGTCCAGGTCAAAAGGTCATTGTCCTTGGTGTCAGTTGAAAGTGCTTATTTAGTGGAGTAAGCATTTTAAATATGAAGTCTCTATCTCGATCTGTTCAAAAGTTATGGCGAAGGTTAAAGTTGATAACAAATAGAATAAAAGTAGCTCAAACTCCAACGTCAAGGCCAAGAGGTCAAATTTGGTGGTACCCAAACAAAGGTCATGTTACAATTAACACACCTATGAATTATGAAAGCCATAGCCCCAACCACTCAATATTTATGGGCTAGGTTAAAGTTGGGGGACAAACAAACAGACAGACAGACAGGACAAAAACAATATACCCCCGATCTTTCGATCCAGGGGCATAAAAAGATGGTACCATAACATTAATATTTCGTTCAAGAATAAAAAATATTGTGCAGATGTATACACTGCCTTTCTTATAGTTTTAGACAAATCTGTGATGGAAAATGTTAATATGTTTCATTTTTGTACCTCAGAAAATGTGAAGGAAAAAAGAGAGGATATAAATGTAGAGAATGGTAACATTAAAGATTGAATATGTACATTACTGTTAGTGCAGCAGGTATGGGTGTGAATTAAAGGGGTTCAACAATATCGTGCATTAAAATGCACCTTACGATTTCTGACATGATTTTCTTGATCTTTTGTTTCCCTGTTAAAATGCCAATCGATATCATTAGAACATATATAAACGTGTTTTTATTGAGTCTTGTATATATCCCGCGGTGTGATGCTGATATGACAGGAGGTCAGAATATACTATCTGATAACGTCATAGATACTCTTGAGTTCCCCACAGTTCTTTGTTTACTATTAGCGAAAGCACATGTACATAATGTAAAATGGTCTATTGCGTAACATTTGGATGTAATAAGGCAGAAAAAGGCAAAGAGATAAGTTTTTTTTCAAACTTTTTACTGAATTCTTAATCTCAGAGATCAGTTTCCAACAAGACCCCATATAAGAAAGGTTTGAGGATAAATGCAGTCCCAGATATGCCACTTTTAACTGGAGAAGAGCTGTGTAGCGAACAGACAACAGCAAAGGTCCGTGGTGCGTATGCAAAGCGACAGAGTTACTTTTTAAGGTCTTCCGTTTCAGACGGAAGACCTTATAGTGATTGTACTGTTTCTTTTTATTATTATTTTTTTCCCCTTTTCTTGTCAGGCTGATTTCTCAGAGATGGATGGACGGATTTTCTTGAAATTTTCAGGGATGATAGAGAATAAAAATACGCTCAGGCGTTTTTTTTTTTAATTTTTTTTAAAATTCACTTCTGGTCGTTAGATATGTCCGATTTCCGTCTTTTTCAAAAATATTTTGTCATAGTCATATCTCAGAAACGGTAAGAGATTAAGACACCAAACTTATATGAGTAATAGATCTTGATGAGTAGGCGAGCCCATTTGGGTTAAGATCTTCCGCCTTCAGTTCCGGTCGTCACAAGAAGTGATCAAAGAAATCGAAAATTTCAAAATTTCTTTTTTGAAACTTTTTTTGCATCACATAATAGTATCTTATTTGTAGTTTCGAAATATATCAGTATCACTGGAAACAAAAACGGCAACTTCCGGTTTTAAGAGAAAAACTGCATATTTTCAGTATTTTTCTTTCCCATAAATATTTTTCATGGATGAAGTATTTGTAATGATTTTTGGACATCTTATTCAGACTGCAAATGTCTACAATAACGTCAAATATCTCTGTAAAAATCACTTCCGGTCGCGTGATTTCCTGTCCTCAAAATGAGAAGTTATCATAGCTAGATCTGGTAAACGATAAGAGATTAAGACACCAAACTTATGGGAGTGGTAGATCTTGATGAGTACGCAAAACCATTGGAGAAAAAATTGTCCGTCGTCACTTCCGGTCGTCACAGGAAGTGATAAAAACATCCTAAATTTTAACTTTTCTTTATGGAAACTTTTTTTGAATCATATTATTGTATCTTATTAATAGTTTCGAAATATATCAGTCCCACCGGAAACAAAAACGACAACTTCCGGTTATCAGAAAAAACTACATAATATGAGTATCTTTCTTCTTCAAATTTAGAAGTTAGCATTACGAGATCTCTTAAACTGTAACAGATTAAGGCACTTTACTTACCCTGAAGATTGTACAATGGACATAGGATAAATTGCGTTTGTCGTCATTTCCGGTCGTCATGGAAAGTGATTAAAAATGATTTTTATAAATGTTATGAAGACTATAAATGTCTAAAGTAACGTCGAGAATCTTGGTAAGTTATACCTCCGGGTGTTTGTTTACCTGTAATCATGGTAAATATTATGTGTCTTTTATAACATAGATAAAAGCTCATTCAAACAGATAAATATAGGAGAACGGAAGACCGTATTGTTGCTGTAGCAACAAGAGTTTCTAGTTTCTTTTATATTCATAGGTCTATGCATTATACTGTCACTGAGTGAAAATCTAGTAATTTACAATTTTCATTTTCCAATAGAAAATTTATTAAAAAATGAACATGTATATTATTTTCTTTCTCCAATATTTTGTTTGTTTCACTGTTTTATATAAGAATTGGGTTTGGTATTAGGTGTGGGGGGGGGCATGAAATTTATATGTAGTAGCACTACTTGCCAATATGCCTAGAAATAAAGAAATCTATATTCTTGCCTCACCCTATTTACCTTACTAAATTTTGATTAACAATTCTTTATTTTTCTTAGTTCGTTATTTTCTTTTTTCATTTAATGTTTCTTTATTTTCTTTTTTCCTTTTAATATTTTTCTAGAAAACCACATTCCTTCCCCGGGATTATTAATTTGTTGTTTGAAATTCTCATTTACAATTGTTAAACTTTATTAAAGAATTAAAACTTTATTGTCTGAAGTCACAGCGTCAGACAGTACTAGAATTAACCAGGGCTTATTTATGCAGTCGTTCCATGAAATGTTTAGATAGCTCGATTGTGAACAACAGACAGAAACTTACGAGATGAAGCACCCCCAAGGAGACTGAGAACACCAGACAGAAATTTACCAGATGAGGAACCAAGAAGATTTATGAGATCGCCCATCAGGAATATAGAATACCAGCCCCTTCCCAAAATTATGGACCCATTAAGAGATTTAGAAAGTGAAAAGTGAAAGTATAAGTTTTTTTAATTATCATAGAATGTAAGTTGTATGTTTAACCTTATTGTTAATCTTAGATTATTTAATTAATTAAATTATGTACATTTGGATTTAACAGGGATCAATTTGACAGGTTAGATTGGGAGGTGGGTGTGTAATGTTTTGATTTTTGATACGACCCCTAATTGTAGCTACGAATGTATTTGAGCGATTTTTAAGTAATATATTTAACACTGTGCCGGATAATTATGCAACTTCAAAAGTTGCATTTTGGCGCCCGCCAAATATTCAATTTTCAGGAAAATGAAAGATGCCATCTGAAAGACCTTGATGTGTAGACTTCATATCTACCTTTTGTTATTGTGTATCTCACCTGTCAGGTGAGATACTCACCTTTAATTAAAAAAATCCCTTAGGAGAAAAAAATATCCTGTAGGAATGTAAGAATTCCCAAGGGATTTACATGAAATCCTGCAGGATTTTGAAAAATCCTATTGGAAATTTGTCAAATCCTACAGGAAATACATTTCCCAAGGGAATTATAATTTTCCTGTGGGAAAATGTAATCCTATAGGATCTTTTAAAAATCCCACAGGAATAAATATTCCCATGGGAAGTTTAATATTCCTATAGGAGTTTAGATCTTCCATATTTTTCCTATGGGAATTTATTCAAATTTAACTGAATTTTAGGTACTCCTAAGGGAGAAAAAAATCCTATAGGAATTTTGTGATTACAATTATTTTCCTGCAGGAAAAAATCATTAATAGTATTTTTCTATTATGTAAACTATATCATAATCCCAAAATGTTGTTAAAGTTGCAGTTACTGTGCATGGCCATAATCAAGACATAATTTTATTTTTCCACAAATTGTTTTATTGAGAGATAGTCAATTTAAAAAGAATATATATTGCAAAAAAATTTGAAAATGTAGATAGACCTGTTTTATAATCTAAACTTTAGAATTTTCAATCATTTTACCTATCAATACAATATCAATAAAAATTTAGGCCACACACTGCACCTTGACTGTTCTTTTGCATTTCTTAAGTAATATTATTGATCGTGTGGTATTCTATACGATATCCGTATATATTACTAGAATAATTCATTTGAATCTATCATCCTAAAACCTGTCCCTCATTACTGTTGTGTTTTTAACCCAATCTTCAACTTAAATCATCATGATGAGACTAAAATCGTGTATCTGACGCTGCAGTTGTAAAAACAGGAAATTATTTTCCGTCGGTAAATGATTGTTATGCAACCTTGTTTTTTCCGGATAAAAAAATTGTTCATTGGTAGACACAAAGGTCATTTGGCATTGAGGGGATAAAGCAAGGCATATACATAATAGCTATGATTCCTTTTGTATTCTTTTCATCACCAAAATTATGGAAATGTGTGTGTGTGTTTAAAGGGGGGGGGGGGGGGGGGGCTGTAGGCAACTCAATATTTTCTGACATGTGTTATTTATTCTGTTCACATTTCTTATTGCTAGCATGCTTAATAATTATGTATTCAATTTCATCACTAAAATATTTATAGCTACTGGTATTTCTGGCCAAAATATTATATCTTCATACTCTCAGAGATTCAAGAGAGGTTAAACCTTGCCAATATTATAATATCTTTACAACACATACGTGCAATATTTTCAAATATCACCATTCATTCACCAATGGTCTTGGCAAAGAGCACACATTTATACAGAAACCCTTTTTACTGAAAGTGAAATGAATAGTGAAAATGGTATGATTTATTTCTATTTATTAGTTTCCTTACATCTGTCATTTGCATGTCATACAATGTCATATAATAATAATTTATAATAAATTATGTGTCCATCAGAAAGTCCACTGACATTTACATGTAACACTGTCCAATGAATTTAGATTATGCTGCAATCTTCCTCACATGGGCAGGTTTCACCACCTCCACGAAGTTGTCCATGGTGTACCTCACCCTGTAACCTGTTGAATAGATAAATAGATATAAATTAGGGGGAAAAATGAAGATTTTTACAAGAAGTTTGACAAAGAGAGATATATCTAAAGATTGCAGAGAATTATAAAAAAATTGGACGAGTAACCATGAAACAAACGAGTTTCTAAATAACATTATCTAGAACAATTCAGTGCATTATTACTTAAGACAAAGGTAGATGTATATAGAAAAATGGTTTGACAAGAAGTTTTATGTTTTTTTCTCTCAGATTTCATTTTAAAACAAAATACCTTCTGGATTCTTCCTTTTCCCCAACACACTGGCGCGATACCAGGTTTTCTCTGGGGAGTAGAATGCCTCCACTGCATCTCCTCTGGTGAATGTGACCTTAAACAAAGAAAAGCCAATGAAATTTCTTCCATTTAATGTCTACCTTTTTGTCTTGATTTGATTGTGACCTATAATATTATAAAATATCATTATCATTCTTATCATTCAAAAATATTTCTTCAAAGTGATCTAACCTTTTTTTTAATTTGTTCACATTTCACTCAATTAATAAAATCTGTAAAGTTTTTCTATTTTATGCCATATAATATATACCGGTATGAAAAAACTTTCTATTAGCATTGAATGTTTCTATCTTAATTTTTGAACATTAAACAAAATAGCATCAAATAGGATAAATTAAATTTAGCTTAAATTAAAGGAATTCATGCTTACAACAGACTGTGTGGAAATATCTTCTTCCTGGATTCTTTCAAGTACAACCCAAGCATTCTGCAACTAAATATATAAATGATAATTAATTTGATGATCATATATTAATACAATATCTTCAAACTTCCAGAAAAATTTATCAAATAGCTTTACTGGTTCTTATCAAGTAACATATACAAAACTTATTTTGATTATCAGAATGCTACATATTGTTGTGAGGTGTGTTGTATTTGTATTATTTCATCATGTATATTATTAGTAACATTAAGTTTCTTGAACATTCCAGAGTGGTCAACATGTTCGGTCATTTTTTCTAGAACATTCTTGAACTTTATTCATGTCCAGAACTTTCCAGGAATATCATGTACTTACAACTTCTAGAATATTCTAGATTTATATTACTGTATAAATATCCTGTCAATTCGATGCATAGATATACTCTTGTCGTATAAGCACTATTGAGATATAACTGGGATATATTTTCACTGGGACATTGTGTGCAGCAACGGACACTCTGATGTATGTATTCTTAGATTCTTGCTAAGTTTGTACTTTATGTTTCATATACTTATTATATATTACTGTAAATAAATTATTGTTAAGTTTAAATTGTGTTATTGATCTTTGCTGGCATTTCGGGTAATTCTGACCCATAACAGAATTGGGGGCTCGTCCGGGATCAAGAATTTTTTGCATTTTTGCAGTTTATTGTCAGAATTTTGTTTATTGAACCGTTAAATTTGACTATAAGCCAGCAAAAATCAACATGGTATTTTCGGTCACAGACTTTCTTAGTTCACCAAGAGTTCAGGTTTTTGATACGTTAAAAAAGGATGACTTGATCGCATTAGGTTTGCATTTTGGGTTAGATGTTAAATCCTCTCAGAGAAAGCAAGACATTAGAATTAAGGTTGCAAACAAACTAGTAGAAGAAAACATCTTTGAAAAATACGATCTTCCAGAATATACAGTTAAAACAGAGTTAGGCTCTTACAAAATGGCAGAATATCAGTTTCAATTAGAGTTAGAGAAAATGCGATTAGAAAGAGAAAAATTAGAAAGAGAAGAGCGAGAAAGAGACAGAGAAAGAGAAAGAGAAGAACGAGAGCGTGAACGGAAATTTGAATTAGACAAATTAGAAAGACAAGAGCACTTTGAGTTAGAGAAATTAAGATTACAGCAGAAACCAGAACCCTCATTTGTCAAGAATGAATTTGATGCAGCAAAAAATATTTGGTTAGTTCCGAAATTTCAAGAAAAATCTGTAGACAAGTATTTTCCCCAATTCGAGAAAGTCGCAGAAAATCTTAAATGGCCACAACACGTTTGGTCAACAATGTTACAAAGTGTACTGGTTGGCAAAGCAGCTGAGGTATACTCTGCACTAGGGGTAGCTGAAAGTTCAGACTATGAGAAGGTCAAAGCAGCAATATTAAAAGCATATGAATTAGTACCTGAAGCATATAGACAAAAATTCAGAAAGTATAGGAAGTTTGATAATCAAACATTTGTTGAATTTTCACGAGAGAAAGAAGATTTATTCGATCACTGGTTTAGATCTAAGAAACTTGATAAAACTTTTGCTAATTTGCGCCAAGTCATCCTGGTAGAAGAGTTTAAGGAATGTGTTACTCAAGATTTGAAAACACATCTAGAAGATAAGAATGTGAAAACTCTTGAAGAGGCAGCAGTCATATCTGATACTTATGCTCTGTCTCATAAAAAGAATTTTGTATCAAGATCTCAGACTAGCAGTAATTCTACAAATTCAGACACATATAAAAAGAGTGGTTCAGGGTCTCAGTCTTTCACAAGTTCCCAGTCTCCATCCCAAGGTGGTTTTAAGTCCGGTCCAGGACGTTTTGAAGGATCATCTGGAATAGGGTCGCTTCCTACTTGTAGTTATTGTAAGAAAAAGGGTCATCTGATCAGTGAATGCTTTAAACTTAAGAGAAAAAATGATTTTGACAAAACTCAACCACATGCTTGTGCGGCATTTAGAGGTGATAGAGAAGCCTTAGTTTCGATTTGTTCTGACACTCCTGATGTCCAGGGTTCACAGTCCAGTTCTATTGATTCTATGGAGGATTATAAGCCCTTTATGTCTCAGGGATTTGTTTCACTCGGTGACTCTAGCGAAATAAAACCTGTCCAGATTTTGAGAGATACTGGTGCTGCACAGACGTTATTATTAGAGGGCGTGCTTCCTTTGTCTGAGCAGACTTCTACTGGTGGGTCAGTTTTATTACAGGGTGTGGAGCTAGGCGTCATTGATGTTCCCCTGCATAGAATTAGTTTGAAGTCAGATTTAGTTACTGGACCTGTTATCGTAGGTGTTCGACCTACTCTTCCTGTTCCAGGCATTTCTTTGTTGCTAGGCAACGATTTAGCTGGTGGAAAAGTTGTACCAGATCCTATAGTTTGTGAGAAAATCACTCCAGATGTCATGTGCGCTGATGAAGATGATGACATTTATCCAGCCTGTGCTGTTACTAGAGCGATGGCCAGAAGACGAGAAATGGAGGCAGACCATACTCAAGCCTTTGACGAGACAAATTCCTCTGTTGATATTGATTTGAATGACACTTTCTTATCTGACCTTGATGGCACTCAAACAAGCATGGAACCACACAATATCAAGAAGCAAGAGAAGAAAGAACTGTTACCAAAATTTGGTGGTGAGGATGATGAGTTGCATCCACTAGTTAGCCAAGGCAAGGACATCCTCAGCCGAGAACGTTTACTCTCTGAACAACATAAAGACCCAGATATCATTCAACTTAGTAAGAGGGCACTTCCACCAGAAGAGGCTACTAAAGTTGGAGAATGCTTCTATATGAAAGATGGCATCCTTATGCGAAAATGGCGACCACCTGACGCTTCTCCAGATGAAGTGTGGCGTGTTGTTCACCAGATAGTGGTCCCAGCTGTTTATCGTCGAGATGTCATGAGTTTAGCTCACGATACACCTATGGCTGGTCATTTAGGTATCAATAAGACTTATAATAGGATTTTGAGTCATTTTTATTGGCCTAAGCTAAGGAAGGATGTTTCTGAGTTTTGTAAGTCGTGTCATGTCTGTCAGATGGTAGGTAAACCGAATCAGAAGATACCATCCGCCCCTCTCCAACCAATTCCAGCTTTAGAAGAACCGTTTAGTCGAGTGTTGGTGGATTGTGTAGGACCTTTGCCTAGGACCAGATCTGGGAACCAGTATTTACTTACCATTATGTGTACATCCACTCGATTCCCTGAAGCCATACCTCTTAGGAATATAAAGGCAAAGAGCATAGTTAAGGCCCTAACCAAGTTCTTCAGTTTTGTAGGAGCACCAAAGGCAATTCAGTCGGATCAAGGCTCAAATTTTATGTCGGGGTTGTTCCAGCAAGTCATGCATGAGTTGGGTATAAGGCAATATAGATCAACTGCTTATCATCCTGAGTCCCAGGGAGCGCTAGAACGTTTTCATCAAACCCTAAAAACAATGCTGAAGACCTGTTGTTACCAGTTTGAGAAAGACTGGGACGAAGGGGTTCATCTTGTACTATTTGCTGCACGAGAAGCAGTCCAGGAGTCTCTTGGGTTCAGTCCTTTTGAATTGGTGTTCGGACATACAGTTAGAGGTCCTTTGAAATTGTTGAAGGAAAAGTGGCTGACTGAGACTAGTGATCTTAATCTTTTAGATTATGTGTCTGATTTCAAAGAAAAACTTTACAATGCTTGTAAATTAGCACAAGAAAATTTGAAGACTTCTCAGATGAAAATGAAAATGTGGTATGACAAAGATGCCAGAAATAGGGTGTTTAAGCCAGGTGATAAGGTTCTTGTATTTTTACCTATTCCTGGTCATCCTTTACAGGCCAGATTTTATGGCCCTTATGAAATTGAAAGCAAGATTAGTGATGTAAACTATGTAGTTAAGACACCAGGTCGACGTAAAGAGAAACGGGTTTGTCACATTAACATGTTAAAAGAGTATTTTGAAAGGTGTGACCGAAATTCTGTAAAACCAGTTTCCACTTTAGCCAATGCTAGGACTGTTCAAAATTGTATTGAAAGTGATACGAGTGTAGAGATGAATGAGAAAGATTGTAATCAGAGTGTTCGTTTGAAAAACTCAGAAGTTTTGGCTAATTTGGATGCCAAACTTGGACATTTGAACATTCACCAAAAAGAACAAGTTAAAAACTTGAGGAATGAGTATCATCAAATCTTTTCGGATGTTCCAAAGAAAACTAATGCAGCTTGTCATGATGTCATAGTGAGTGACGTTCTGCCTATCAAACAACATCCGTACCGTCTGAATCCAATAAAATTGCAGTACCTAAGAAGGGAAGTGCAGTACATGTTGGACAATGACATTGTTGAACCTAGTAAAAGTGATTGGAGCTCACCATGTATTCTTGTACCAAAACAGGACGGTTCGTACCGATTATGTACAGACTATAGAAAGGTGAATTCTGTTACCAAAACTGATTCATTTCCAATACCTAGAATCGATGACTGTATTGACCGCATTGGAAACGCCAAATTTGTCAGTAAATTTGACCTGTTGAAAGGCTACTGGCAAGTACCGTTAACAGAAAGAGCAAAAGAAATATCTGCTTTTGCTACACCAGATGGACTTTACCAGTATAAAGTAATGCCTTTTGGCATGAAAAACGCACCGGCTACATTCCAAAGGATGATTCACTCCCTCCTTCAAGACCTCGAGGGATGCGAGGCCTACATTGATGATGTCGTCATATACAGCGACACATGGGACGAACATCTCCGAATCATGCGTGCTTTATTTGACATTTTAGCTAAAGCAAACTTAACTGTGAACCTTGAGAAGAGCGAATTTTGTCATGCTTATGTAGAGTATTTAGGTCATAGAGTAGGTCAAGGTTATGTTACACCCATTATGGCTAAAGTGGAAGCTATTGCAAAGTTCCCGATTCCTACAAACAAGAAAGAGTTAATGAGGTTTTTGGGCATGGCTGGGTTTTACAGAAAATTTTGTCCAAATTTTTCCTCAGTTGTAAGTCCACTTACAAATCTTTTACAAAAGAGGGTTAACTTTGAATGGACAAAGGACTGTGAAAATCATTTCATAAAATCAAATCTGTCCTTATGAGCAACCCAGTTCTGTCAACTCCAGATTTTTCTAAGCAGTTCAAGCTTACTGTTGATGCTAGTGATGTTGGAATCGGGGCAGCTTTGTTTCAAGAACATAGTGATAAGGTAGATAGAGTTGTTTCTTATTTTTCAAAGAAACTTACAAAATGTCAACAAAAGTATTCCACCATTGAAAAGGAATGCCTTGCTTTGTTGTTAGCCTTACAGCATTTTGATGTTTATCTGAATGTTACTTTGCATCCAATTCTTGTATATACGGATCACAACCCCCTGACATTTTTGCATAAATTGTCAAACAAAAATCAAAGACTGACTAGATGGAGTTTGTTGTTACAAGAATACAACATAACAATTAAGCATATCAAAGGCAAAGACAATGTTATTGCAGATGCCTTGTCCAGAGTATCGTGAACATATATGATTTTGTATTAATGTACATATATTTCACTTTAACAATATAAGTTTTCATTGACATTCAAACTTTTTAAGGGGGGAGGTGTTGTGAGGTGTGTTGTATTTGTATTATTTCATCATGTATATTATTAGTAACATTAAGTTTCTTGAACATTCCAGAGTGGTCAACATGTTCGGTCATTTTTTCTAGAACATTCTTGAACTTTATTCATGTCCAGAACTTTCCAGGAATATCATGTACTTACAACTTCTAGAATATTCTAGATTTATATTACTGTATAAATATCCTGTCAATTCGATGCATAGATATACTCTTGTCGTATAAGCACTATTGAGATATAACTGGGATATATTTTCACTGGGACATTGTGTGCAGCAACGGACACTCTGATGTATGTATTCTTAGATTCTTGCTAAGTTTGTACTTTATGTTTCATATACTTATTATATATTACTGTAAATAAATTATTGTTAAGTTTAAATTGTGTTATTGATCTTTGCTGGCATTTCGGGTAATTCTGACCCATAACAATATGTATATCTTAAGTTGTAAAGTTTGGTAGAACAGCAAGAGAATATTTTGTCAGAATATGTCATTTACCTCCGATTCCTTTCTTTGTACAGCAGTCTGAAAGAAATTAAACAATTATGTAAAGATTGTAACAATGATATACACTAAACATCCACATCTCATAAGTTACACTACATTACCATAAGATTTAAAATTGTTGTGAAATATAATTCTTTTGAAAGTATAATAAATACTCTTTTTTTGACAAATAAGATGTAAATGTATATCTACTTTAAAAAAAAAAAGGGGGGGGGTCAAAATGGTTGACCAATGTTTTCACTATTTAAAATAAAATCTATTTGGTGCTACTGTACCTCTTTCCTTCTGTTGTCTTTCTTCGGACCCCTGGTCTGCTGAGTTTCCAAGGTACTCTAAAAGTTATCATAGAAATCACTTAATACACATTTTAAAGTAATATGCTATTTAATTCTGAACCCAATTTCAATTTTTTTTCCATTTTAAAATTCAAAATGATTTGATATTTTTTTAAACTTATTATTTACCATTGGATTTTCCTCCTCCTCTTGGACTTCTTCACCTGCCTCATCAAAGGTAAAGGGATCCTATAAATCAAAACATTATATTAATAGATCTAGAAGCTTTAGTGTCCAAAAATTGTCTTGATACACAGTCTTTAAAATAAATCTATTAAATCTGTACCATTTCATTTTGTCCGCTGCCGAATTTCTGCCTCATCTCCTCCAGCTGGTCCTTCAGTTTGGCATTCTCGTCTCTCAGTCTGCGATTTTCTCTCTATCCAAAAACAGCAAATTTGTCAAAACATGTTTTTTTTTAAAATATTTTTTTTTTCATCTTTATACATAAAGAGAAAATACTTATTTAGTTTTATATTTTGTTTTGCTAATTACAATATAATGTATTCCAGTTCTCAAATTAAAAATAGTTATTATTTATCACATGTATCATTTCCTAATACCTTGATTTCCTGCATACTCTCTTCGTTACTTCTTGTTTTCTGCAATAAAAGTAAACATCAGTGAACATGCCATCATTGAATATGTTTTTAAAAAAAATACATGCCTACAAAATATTGAAATTGTAAAATTTTCTATTTATTGAATTCTCAGATATCTACCTTTAAGGAGGAAATGTCCTTCCTGAACTGGTCTAGGGAGACCAGACCATTGGCCAGGTTAGACAGGTGGTGGTGTACCTCTACCTCTCTCTTCTCTCCCACAAGTAGAGCAAACAGGCCTGGCTTAATGGACTTGGTGTTCCTGCAACAGAGAAATAGATAATAAGATTCAATCTACATAATAGATTATAAAACTGAATTGTAAGGAAATGTTATTGAAATTATTTCATTAATGTAAAAATTCACTCATCAATACTCACCGCATGGTAGGGATGTCTCCTCTTTTGAAGGCTGCAAAAATGCCTTGCAGCTCCTCAAAACAACATTCTGGTAATGTTGACAGGTAGATCTGCTCCCTGAATGAGCCACCAAATGTCCCTGCCTGAAAATATAAAAGTAAGGCTTGTTATAGCTCTATAGAGGAATATCTGATTACTCTCATTCTTATATGAAACCACATGGAATAAAGAAATATGAATTTAGCTAAATCAAATATGAATTATTACATATTGTTTTTTTTTTGGTTTTTTTTTCCTCATTGAGCATCTAGTTTTCGTCAAAATTATGGGAATAATATTATACATAATTGAACAAAACTTAGCATTTTAAGCATGTGAATGACTAATGAGACAGAATATGATTTCCTGTCATAATGAGTAAAACACAAAATGAAAGAGGCATATCCTTACATGCACTTTTGGTCTGAAGGCTAGGAGGACCTCACACTTCCGTCTCCAGGCCACATCTCCCGTCTTCAGAAACTCTCTCCTGCCTACCTTGCCACTCTGTGGATGGGCATCTCGCATGATCTAAAATTAAAGTAATTCTACATAAAAATCTTTTTATTTTCATCTCATAGAAATTCATGAGTTAAATGCTTAACTTTTGTCATAAAAACATTGTAGATGATGATTTATTTTATCCTGAAGAACAAATTAATACCAATGATCATACAGAATTCTTTTTCTGATTAAAAAACATATCAAAAAATACTAATTTCTATGTTGAATTATTTGTAATATAACATATTGTACCTTGACCTCTTCCTCTAACTCTTTATGTACATATTTTCTCGATGTCGATGCGTCTTGTGATGAAGCTGAGCTTGCTGGACTCTCCTCAACCGTGGAGTCCAACTCGGAATCTGTCTGTAGAATGCAGTCAGCTGGAGTGAACAGCTCACCAGATGAGTCTATAAAAAAATATTTGAACATTATATAATATGATGACTGAAATCAAAGAAATTGAAATTACTTTTTTTAAAATGACGTTCTTAATCAATTGTTCTGTATAGGAGCTTTTGTTTCAAAAATTGAAAAATAAAGGAACATGCACTTTCTTCCCTGATATGCCCATTATTTACTGCATGTTTACATAAAAAAAAAAAAACAGGGCTTCATATTTTAGCAAATTTTGCATATACACAAAGACATGCAATAGAATATGCTTATTCAAGAATACCACTAAGAAATCATTTATTTATCAATACATAAACCCCTGTCTAGCACTTATTCATGAATACACTATCAACAATGCCAGTGATTGTCAAGTTTTGATAACAACTATATCAGCCATCTACTCCTCTGTATTTATATTTTAATCTGAACAATCAGTAAATTGCAAGTTGCTGATATCTTCACGTTCATTGGGAAAGTTGAGGTAACAAATGCCCAAAGTGTTGAATGACAACATAATGCTTATCATTTATTCTATTATTGGCCTTTTGCCTTACACACCTTCAAATTACTATTACTTTTCATGTCCATTGACAAAGACTTTAAAATGTGAATTCATGCATAAAGCATTTACGACTAGTTGTTAACAGTTGGTTTCATTAGTCCATTATTCTGAATGTAAGTTGCATCATTGCATCTGTAATTGTTCAAACAACCTAATCCTTATTTATTTCTGAACATGAACATTACATACAAAATTGTTTTCATTCTTTAATCTTTCAGTCCAAAAATGAATAATTTAGCACACTTTGGATGGATTATCATGTCTTTCTATGAATGATTTCTTTTTTTCAAAAGATTTCTTGGTTATAATGACATTAAATATCATAAGAAGACTAATAAAATAGCTGCCCATTTCTAAACTTTTTTGGCGCCCAGGGCAATTAATATGGTTTACATGGTATTTACAACATTTTTAGCATTTCAAAAACTGTACTTACCTAAATGTGATACATCATCGGCGAAAGCTATCTTCAGTTTGGCTAAGACAGCATTCAGCTCATCACAGAATTTCCTCCTTGATGCAATGTCCTTGAGGCTTCTGAACCCACTTTCCACAGTCTTGTATGCTTCCAGAGGCACAGTTTTCTTCTCATTCTAAAGAAACGACAATTTTCTATTCTTAAAGATCATATGCATGTTTTTTCACCATAGCATTTTTTTTATATTCATAGTATTTGATTCTTTTTTAAATTGCTTTTTCCCATAGACACCAATACATTCTTAATTTATAAATTTCTGCTCAGGTAATTATATTTTTGAAAATTTCTCCTGGTAAATCTTTTTCTACTTTAAAATGATTTGAATTAGTTTCTGAGTGTTTAATATAGGATGGATATTTAAGATGAGAAAATTATGTCCTTTTATGGATTGGATACCTTAAGAAAATGTTATATGAATGAACCCTGGGGTACTTTCAAATTCTGTGAGAGTGAATCCATATCATAGTAAAAAAAATGAAATGACTCTTAAAACCATGGGAACTGGAAGTTTAGAAATTTTAAAATAAATACTAATTTTGCATCTTTCTGACATGTGCTAGCTATTCCACCTAAAATTTAAACCTAGGAGGTTAGTAAAGACCATTTTTTCCACAAATGATTCACATTTAAATTTATAATAATGGTGGATGCTGTATGATTAGTCGAATTAATAGAGTTGGTAGGATATCAGGGGTATTCAGGATTGTTCAAATGAAAAACCATGCCTTCTTCCAAGGGGAGATAATTTTGATTTTATTGAAAATCAATAGTATAGTTTAACAAGAGGCTCAATGGCATTGAATTGTTCTTCTGATAAATTGTACAATCAATCACTTCTATTTGAAGCCTCTAACACTAAGTATCATAAGACCCAAGTTGCATCAACAGATAAAGTTTGATGATTCTTAGCCAATTAGGATTGAAGATATTTTAATGAAGTTATAAATAAAACATAAGTATGTCATAATGACCTACTTTAACATTGAAGTTTCCTGAGGACTCAAGATACTTAAAAATATCCATAAAGTATCGCAGGTAGATCACTGTGACCTATTTTTTTAGTGTACGATTTTTGAAAACCCAAGATACATTAATTTACAAAGTTTGATGATAAAGCCAATAAGTACCTACTTTTTAGCTCACCCGCTCCTTCCACATGTTCCATGTGAGCTTTTCTGATAAAAATTTGTCTGTCGTTGTGGTTGTCGCCGTTGTTTTCCTTAATTTTTCACATTTTCATCTTCTCAAGAACCACTTGGCCAATTTCAACCAAACTTGCCACAAAGTATCATTGGGTGAAAGGGATTCAAGTCTGTTCAAATGAAGGGCCAAGCCCTCTTCAAAGGGGGATAATTATGAATTAGTAAAAAATTAATTGCATTTTAATAAATCTTTCTCAAAATACGCTTGGCCATGAAAGATGAAACTAATGTGGAATCATCCTCAGATAGTATAGATTTAAGTTTGTTCATATTATGACCCCTAGGGGTAGGGCAGGGCCAGAATGACCAACCAAAGTTTTACATAGAAATGTATAGGAAAAGTCTCTAAAAAATCTTCTTCTCAAGAATAACAAAGCCATGAATGGTCATATTATAAGTTGAAATTTCTGCACTCCAATTTGTGGGTTTCAAGAATACATTATCTCATTGTGTGGTTATGAATATTCAATTCTTTCAGAGAACATATGTTGTGGGTTTGTGGGGGACCCTTAAAAGTGAGCTCATCCAAGTTTTATGGCCCCCTGTAAATTGTTGATAGATTGATTGATTTCATATTGTTTAACGCCAAGTCGGCGATATTTCAGCCATATTTTGGCGGGCAAGTATTAACCGGTTTTTGAAAGCTTTTGGTTTCTCTGGCGGCCCCCAATGAGCCTACTCTTTATCGAACTCCAGAGAAACGGTCTTTTGCGTGCCAAGGGGGTTGTTATCCTTGACACGGGGCACCATTTAATGTCCCATCCGACGGACTTGAAATTTAAAAATATGTAAACTGTTAAAAATAAAATCATCTAAATACATCCCATAAAATTACTCTAATCATTTCTATATTTTATTGTAAAAATCAGTTTCATGTAAATATTCCAAAATTGCATGTACATTAACATTTGTAAAAAGGTCATATATCGTTTTTGCGTTACCAAAAAGTCTACTTCGAATTGGTGAAAAATCAGAACATTCTAATAAAATATGATTTACAGTTATCGGACAGTCACAGGATATACACTCCGGCTGAGACTCCCGATTCAGCAAGTATTCATGTGTAATTTTAGAGTGACCAATACGTATTCTTGATATAATTACTTCGTCTTGACGTTTCAGACCGAAGTCACATGATTTGTTAACTTTGTTTTCAATAGCATAAAGCTTACTTTCATCACAAAAATTCCAATAAATTTGCCAAAGAGAATCGACATAAATTTTAACGAGGTATTTCAAATCGGTGTAAGGAATTTTAAATAAAGTAATTTCATGTTGAAGTGCTGTTTTTGCTGCATTGTCAGCCTTAGTGTTTCCAGGGATGCCGATGTGGCTCGGAATCCAACAAAAATTCACTGTTTTACCCTGTTGAGCGAAATAATTAAACTGTATTAATATATCTAAAATATAAGGGTGATCAAGATTCTTGTTTTTAATGGATTGTAAGCAGGAAAGAGAGTCCGAAAATATAGTAAATATGTTGTCACTGGAAGATTTTATATATTCAAATGCAAGTTGTATGGCTTTTGCTTCCGCAGTAAATATTGTTGCTTCATTTGGAAGACGTGTTGAGAAAATACTATTATCAATTACTGCAGCTGATGCAACTGTATCCTTGTCTTTCGAACCATCTGTATAGATCTCGACTGTAGGACCATTAGAATGTTTTATTTCGGCCAATTTTTGTTTAAAAATAAGAGAATTTGTTTCTGATTTCTTAAATTCAGTTAAAGATATATCAACACTTGGTTTTATTAATTTCCAGGGCGGTATTTCAGAAAAATTTGAGGGTTTTATAATATCCAAAGTAAGGTCAGAGTCTCTAATATGCTTTTTACATCGTAGACCAAGTGGTTTTATACACGTTTTTCTTTTATGATACAAGTCCTCGTTCTGCGGATAAAAAACACAGTTATAAGCAGGATTATTAACATTTGCTTTTAATTTCAGAATATATTGTAGGGAAAGTTTAATTCTATGTAAGTCGAGGGGTGGTTCATTTGCCTCGACATATAAACTGTCTTTAGGAGAAGTTCGAAAAGCTCCCAAGCACAGTCTAAGGCCTTGATGGTGAATTGCATCAAGAGCTTTTACGTAAGAAGTTCTTGCCGAGCCATACACAATACAACCATAGTCTAACTTGGATCTTACTAAAGAACGATATAGTTTTAAAAGAGTATTTTTATCTGCCCCCCATTTTGTTTTTGCAATTACTTTAATAACATCTAAAGCCTTCGTGCATTTTTCTTTAAGCATTTTTATATGTGATACAAAAGAAAGTTTACTATCAAAAATGATACCTAAAAACTTTATTTCTTTTACAACCTTAATTGGATTTCCATCGAGCAGCAGACGTGGTTCGTCATGCGCTTTCCGTTTGGAACAAAAATGAACACAAGCGGTTTTGCTTTTTGAAAATTTGAATCCATTTACATCAGCCCAATTTTGAATTTTATTTAGACAACTCTGCAATTTTCGTTCAATATAGTTCATATTTTTGGATTTAAAACAAAGAACAAAATCATCAACATATAAACTTCCATGCATATCATTTTCAAGAACTTCTGCTAAGTTGTTGATTTTTATACTGAATAGAGTTACTGATAGAATACTACCTTGTGGTACACCCATTTCCTGTTCAAAACTTTCTGAATATGTAGACCCTAAGCGTACTTTAAAATGTCTATCATTCAAGAAATTCTTGATAAAATTAGGTAAATGTCCTTTAAGACCCATAGTGTAAAGGTCTTCTAAAATGCCATGTCTCCATGTAGTAGCATATGCTTTTTCTAAATCAAAAAACACAGATATAACATGCTCTTTTTTAATAAAAGCATCTCGAATATAGGTTTCCAGTCTATAGAGAACTTGATGCATGCTAAAAGTAACAATGTATTGTAGGTATTGGATAATAAAGGCAAAAGTGAAGGAAGGATGTCAGTCACTGGATACTGAGGATGGAAGAAGTGGACAGAAATTTGCCAGTGAGATGTATTTACAGGCCAAAACGTACGTCGAAACCACTGCTGTGAGATATGGTGACCAACAGCCTGACTGCAGAGAAGTCCACCTTCCATGTTGCCTAAACAAGACAATTGCATAGGAAGACTACCGAAAAACATTTCAAGACAGAGGTCTGCATTGTCCAAACGAAGCTTCTACAGAATATGGAGAGAACATTTCAACAATGTTAAAGTCAGAAAGGTAAGACCAAGTTTATCAATGTACATTGTGATTGTAAGGCTAAAATTTGATTCCTAGACAATATATCTCCAAAAAATTGGTGTCAGGGAGGGTTTCCAATCATTTTATTGGCAATAAAGTAGATGATTTTTTTTACACTCACCTTTTCTTTAAATCAATGATCAGTTTTAGATAATATATATACTTTCCATACTTTTCATGTGTGATCAATAGCTTTGCATTATTGCTATATCATTGTGTAAACATAGGGTATTGTCTTCAAAGAAGTAACCATGTCTCTTAAAAATTGCTAACAAAAGTGATAGTTGAGTACTTAACTATGAGAAATGATTAGAGAACTTTTTTCTAGATTGGGCTCCAAATGGCCAACTTTTTTTTTTATCAAACATACAATAAAATTTGGGGTGTGGCTATCTTAAAATCAATTTGTGCAAGCCTCAGAACATTTCAATTTTATGTGGCCTTAATGAAATTTGAAAAGTTTTGTACAAGCTCCAAGTTTTAAAGTCTTTATATAATAATCACATACATAGACAAAAAATAATTAGGAATGTCTTTAAAAAAATTATCTAAATATATTGTGATTTTCACATCAAGTTGAAAATTTTGGAAATCATTTTTTTAGATTTTCATTACACTAATTTTTAGTTGTAATATTTTTAAAGATATGAATAGTATTTTTTTTTGCATATTTACTTTTTTTGAGAATAAAGTGGAATTTACAGCCACATTCATCTCAGTCTAATTAAAATTAGAAGTTAGCTCTCACATACTCGATACACTTACATTTAACAACATCCCATAGAGGGTAACATCAGAGTTCAAAATCAGAACAACTCAACTTATTCACTCAATCAAATCTACAGTGATTTTGCAGGCAACAATCAAATACACTTACATTTAACAACATCCCATAGAGGGTAACATCAGAGTTCAAAATCAGAACATCTCAACTTATTCACTCAATCAAATCTACAGTGATTTTGCAGGCAACAATTTGATTGGTTTATACAATTTGACCTCTGATCTGACCCTCTATGGGATGTTATTGGTTATTAGTGCATTGAGTATGCGAGTGAATCTAACATCTGATTTAATTAGATTCCATTCCAGTTAAACAATTTTACAAGGTTGCATCCATGGAATTGAGAATTGTTTTTCTCTTTAGTTTCAGAAGTTTTCCAAGTGTAATGAGTGCACAACTTTTAGGGAGGCACTTTCTCAGAAGCTCACCAAGGAAGAAAGACTGAGGCTACAGGCTCAACGACAAATTCATTTGAAATTTCAAGAGTAAGTTAATAATAACTATTTGTAATTTCAAATATATAAGGCTGATAATGAATGAAATAAAGGCTAACTTTGACAGTTTATCTAAAATAAAAAAATGATAAATTGCCAACATATAGTATTCAGTATTGTTCGACAGTAATTTGATAAGAAAAAAAGAACGAGATGTTTTCTCTGTGACATTGTGATATTTTCACATTTAAATTGTTATGCCAATTTTTGGAAAATTAAATTCAAGTGCTGTATAAATAATATATCTTATTCTTTTATCCAAAATTAGATTATCAAGAGAAAAGTACTACAAGCACAGAAGCAAGAGCAGAGAGAATCCAGCTAAATACACCAGTCTGATAATAGACAACATGGATCAATCTAAGACCAACTTACCAAGATTTCCAGAGAATTTCAAGGTATTGAATTAATGAAGTCTCTATACATTTACCTGAAGTACTAATGAAACTAATG